CTTGTGGCAAGTACAAGCTGATAGTAAAAAACAGTTTTTTGCTTAACATTTTAACATTTTAACATTTTTTTTTTTTAAATAATCTGGAGTGATGGTAACATTCTCTATTACTTTTTGTCATTCATAATGTAACCAAGGTTTAAAAAAGAACCAAATATCCTTTCCAATGGAGTCATATGCTTTTAAGCCTTATTCCCGGCTGAAGTTGTTGAGTACTTATGCTTGAAAAGCAAGAATGCAATATGAGAAAAGGTCTAATGTGGGAAAAAGTTTCTCATATGAATATAGGTTGTTGGGCTAGGCCCATAGTCTGTCTTTCCATGGAGACTCTCTCAGCGTACTGATCAGGGAATGGGCCATCATCCATGGCAAAGCAGCATCTGTTTTCTTGTCACCTGTGTCATCTGCTTGCTTACCTGTACAGAAAGTGGAGGCTTCAAGACAGATATCAGGAAACACTTCTTTACAGGAAGGGTTGTTAAGCACTGGAATAGGCTGCCCAGGGAGGTGGTTGAGTCGCCATCCCTGGATGTGTTTAAAAGCCATCTGGATGTGGTGCTCAGGGACATTAGCGGAGGGTTGTTAGAGTTGGGGTAGTATGGTTGGGTTGTGGTTGGACTCAATGATCTTGAAGGTCCTTTCCAACCTGAGTGATTCTGTGATTCCATAATTAACTTGTTTCATTTCTTAAGAAAAACCAGAAAAATTGATCCCCAACGGAAAATGCTTGTGAGTTTTTTTCTATATCTACTTTGAAGTCAATTTTCATAGGATGGGCAACTTTAACAACTTATTCGCAGTTTTCTAAAATATTTTTCAAAAGTGGTCCTTGAACATTTCAAGACAGATGATGAGATTGATTTGTAATTTGGATTTGTAATTTGAAGAGCATTCTCAGGATTTTTAGGGCTTGAGAGTAGTGGAAAGAAAGAATACAAGGTGATATTGAGAAAATAGAGTTCTGGGTCCCTGGTTCATACGGGTGAAAGCCAGGTCTTACTGTTTTGAAATAGTGCAAAATTTGTAATCAACTTCATGGAGAACACAAGAGGCCACTGATCAGCTGAGAAATACCATACTGATTTTTTTCCACTTGTACTTTTGGCTTGGAAGATTATATTTCAAATGTAAAATGCTGCTTCTTTGTGCGTTAGCTCACTGGGCTGGTTATTATCTTGAGATGCTGAAGAGGTTCGTATTGACACCTCTGGCAGTAGGCAACTGTAGTTTAGATTTCCTTCAGAAGTTTATGTATTACACATACTAGTTTTGATACGTAGAGACCGTGAGCCTGTCTTAAAAAAGCAGAAAATAGCACCTGTTTTGAAACAGGATTGTGAATATCCACATTTGTTCTTGAGGGTTATTGTACAGTGTCTGAAATAGTTTATTGGTGTCTGATCAGTTCGCTGTAGATCAGAGAGCAGCCATATTTGAAAGGCTACATTTCCTGAATTCAGCACTGATTTCTTAAACCTTCTGCCCAAGGTTTAAGCTGTCTGTAAAAACAGAAGATTAGTGGTGCGTTAGATGAAAACCTGGAAAAGGAGCCACCCTGTTTGCAGCTCCTTTTAGACACAATCCTCCTTTGCGACTGTGCTTTAAAAGCAGTTGTATTGATGATGATGACGACGATGACAGTGATGATGATACGATGATAATAATAGGCAGCGCTTTGCCAGTCCACCAAGTTTTGGAAATTAACACTAGAAAAGCTGCTCGGTGAAAGCCTTAGGAGAGGCATGGTCGCTCTGTGCGTGGTCATTGATACCAGCCCCTGAGCTCAGTAGTTTCTGAACAGGGCCAGAAGATCAGACCCTCCGACTGTAAAAATGTAAATCTGCAATGTAAATAAAGCTTTGTTTGAGTTGTCTTAGTCCTAAAAGACTGGAGAGAGGCTTGTGTGGGTGCCTCGCTGCTCTGCGCTCATCATGCTTTCGCTTCACAGAAACCGAAGTAACGTACTGAAAATGTGATTTGGAAGACTGCTTTTTCCTTTCCTCATTTTGGAAGGCTTTAGATTTTTCAGTTAGACTTTAGGATTCTTGTGGCAAATGACGCTTTCACTCTTTTTCTGTAGGGAATCATCTTATCTCCTGTGATATTTTTGTAAGACGTCATGATAGTTCCATTTACAGTGAATCATTTACTGTAAGGATTA